TGATACTCGACATTTTCCGGGAAAAACTGCGATCTGATCGCTTCCTTGAGGAGATCCCAAGAATCAATTCGAATCCTGTGGGCCTGAATGTCCGCATATTTGGTTCGCCACCATAATTTTGCATCTCCACCCAAATACATGGTGGCTGTGGTTATCTTTCTAGCTTCATCTTCGATCGAAGCTGCTAGAAAGTACTGTTCCATATCAAACAAGAGGTTTTCGACTTCTTTTGCATCACGTGCCCCTCCATAGGTACACGGTTCAGGAATTCTGAGTCTAGGAGCATACTCGTGTGCGGGAGCTTGCCCATTGCCCACCGCACGTTGGAGTACTCGCAATTGAGCTCTCAACGCTTCCATTTCATCCTGCAGATCAGGAATGATTGCAGCAGCTTCCGTCATTACTGCGCAAGCTCTTTGGCTTTCATCCAATTGGATGTGTAATCCATGAATCTCAGATTCGGCCATCTCGACTTTTTCCTCGAGACCTTCCACAACATAGCACAACCTACAACCTAGTAGCTGTCTCATCAAGCGCATCCACGCGCTGTTTCGTAGTACCCTTCTTGTGAGGCTCTACCACTTCAGTGGTGTGTGATGTAATTGGATCCATAGCTTTCTTATCGAGGGTCTTGAGCCGCGGCTCTGATACCAACTTTCACGGGGTGCCTTTCTTCTTGGCACAAAAAGGGACACCGTGCGGCAGTAGTCTGCTCCGCTAGACTACCTTCAGCCTTTTCTCGGTCGCGTCGGGACGAAAGAAAATTTGATTGCAATTTTGTAGAAAGCTTACAATTAAGAATTTGAATACATTGAAAGTAAATTGAACATTGATTGCTGAAAACTGAACATTACAATTGATGAAAGCAGAAAATTACAAATGCTGGTGCAGGGGGCGGACACCAGTGAGCTTGAAAGATTTTTGAATGACTAATACCCCCTATAATAGCATTCTGAACAAAAACCCAAGTGACGGGAGTAGACGTTTAAAAGACGAGGAATCATACTAATCTTTTACCAATATCAGAGCTATTTTACAATTAAAATAACTATTACAATGAAACGAAAATTACAACTCAAACTTGAAGTAATATTTACAATGTGCGGCCGAAGTTGGGCAAACTGCGGCTGCGATAGTGTCAAGGGGCTAAGTAAAGCTGCGGTCCTTGACACTTGGGCAGGCAGCAGGCTCAAGCAGCACCTAATAATGCAACAGGTGGTGCTAACACAATGAGCTCGATTGTTGAGCAGTTTCGTCGTTTTAAACCTCATCTTTTGATGGTAAAGGTGACCCTTTAGCAGCTGAGGAGTGGCTTAGAAGACTTGAAGGGATCTTCGAGCACATGAGCTGTAACGACGCTCAAAAGGTTTCATGTGCAAAGTTTATGTTGATTAACGATGCTGGACATTGGTGGGATTCCGAAACACATACTAAAACTGCAGAACAACTATGTAATCTCACTTGGAATCAATTTAAGGAGTCGTTGATGGGTAAATATTTTTCCCGGCCATTGAGGGATCAAAAGGAGGTAGAATTTCTCCAACTCGCGCAAGGAAATTTACCACTTGGGGGGTATGAAAGAAAATTTGAACAACTTTCTAGGTATGCTCCACACATGGTAAACACTGAGCTGACGAAAACTAAAAGGTTTGAAATGGGGTTAAAGCCAGAGATTAAAGGAATCATGGCAGCCCAGCAGTATACTACTTATGCGGAAGTTGTACGTCGAGCACAAGCAATTTCTAATGGTTTAGGATTGGAAAAGAAACCTCAACCCGACACCGAGATTTCTGTAAAGAGAAAGTGGCAAGGTCACGACAAAGGTAGGAATCAAAATCAGAAAGTAAAGATTTGGTCAAACTCAAACAAAACTTTTCCTCAATGCTCCAAGTGCAATAAGCGACACTTGGGAAAATGTCATCAAGGAAAGGAATTATGCTACATTTGTGATAAAAGTGGTCATTTCCTTAGAGGATGTTCAGAGAAGAAGAAAGAAGGTGACCAACTTAAGAAGGGAAAGGCCAGAGTATTTGCTTTGACGGGAGAAAAGGAGGACCAGAACATAGACGTAATAACAGGTATGTTACCAGTATTCGACATACCTGCTATTGTTCTTATGGATTCTGGATCGACTCATTCATTTATTTCTATGATTTTTATGGATAAGATTGGGAATGAATGCGTAGAAACGAATAACATTTTAGAAGTTAGTACACCCTCCGAGGAAGTCATTAATACTGATCAAATGGTTAAAAGTGTTAAGTTAGAGATTGAAGGAAAAGTACTAAAGGTGGATTTGTACATCTTGGGAATGAAAGACTTTGATGTAATTTTGGGTATGGACTGGTTGGGTAGAAATTATATAACTATCATATGCCATAAGAATGAAGTCTTATTTCAAAAACCTGGAGAAGAAAAATTTTGATTCCTTGGAGCAAGAATTGGGACTCTACCCTGATTGATATCTACAATGAAAGCAGAAAAGATGTTGAAAAAGAATATGTGTCGAGGATTTTTATTGAATATAAATAATAAACCCCAGTCCGAAAGAAAAATAGAAGATGTACCAGTAGTGAATGTGTTCGTGGATGTTTTTCCTGAAGATTTACCTGGTATACCGCCAGATAGGCAAATAGAGTTCACAATTGACTTGACCCCTGGGACAACACCAATATTTAAGGCTCCTTATAGGATGGCACCAAAAGAATTACAGGAGTTGAAGATGCAACTACTAGAATTATTGGATAAGGGTTTCATCCGGCCTAGTGTATCCCCATGGGGAACGCCGGTATTGTTTGTTAAAAAGAAAGATGGGTCAATGAGGATGTGTATTGATTATAGAGATATTAATCATTTGGCTATAAAGAACAAATATCCACTCCCAAGGATAGAGAATCTTTTTGATCAATTGAAGGGTACAACGGTGTTTTCAAAAATAGATTTGAGATCAGGTTATCACCAACTCAAGATAAAGGATTGTGACATCCCAAAAATAGCTTTTAGAACACGGTACGGGCACTATGAGTTCACAGTGATGCCATTTGGGTTAACCAATGCACCAGCTATGTTTATGGACTTAATGAATCGTGTTTTTCATCTATAGCTAGATCGATTCATTATAGTCTTCATCGACGATATATTGGTATACTCAAAGGATAAGCAACAACATAAAGAGCAGTTGAGAGTGGTATTAAATACTCTTCTAAAAGAGAAGTTGTACGTCAAATTCAGAAAATGTGAATTCTGGCTAGATCATATTGACTTTCTTGGTCATGTGATTACTGCGTAAGGAATTGAGGTAGACCCAACTAAAGTTGAAGCTGTAACAAATTGGTCTAGACCGACCAATGTAGGCGAAGTTCATAGTTTCTTGGGTCTAGCTTGCTATTACCGGAGATTTATTGAAGGATTTTCTAAGATAGCTGGACTACTGACACAATTAACTAGAAAGGGAGTAAAGTTTCAATGGTCGAATAAGTGTGAAAGTAGTTTTCAAGAATTGAAGCAAAGATTGGTTTTGGCACCAGTATTAACAATATCAAATGGTTCTGAAGGTTTTGTTATATACAACGATGCTTATAAACAAGGTTTGGGATGTGTGTTGATGCAACATGGAAAAGTCGTTGCCTATGCCTCTAGATAGTTAAAATCATATGAGCAGAATTACCCAACTCATGACTTAGAACTCGCAGCAGTAGTTCAGGCACTAAAAATATGGCGTCACTATCTCTATGGTAGTAAATGTGAGATATACACGGATCACAAAAGTCTCAAATACTTATTTACTCAAAGGGAGTTAAATATGAGACAAAGGAAATGGCTAGAGTTGGTTAAAGACTATGACTGCACCATTCTTTACCACCCAGGTAAAGCTAACGTAGTTGCTGATGCTCTGAGTAGAAAGACAGCTGGAAAGTTGACAATTCCAACAACTCAAAAAGAGTTAGCTAAGGAATTTGAAAATTTGAGGCTAGAGGTGGTTACATCTTCGATACAAAAGCCAGCCATTGTTGTGGCTCTAATTGTTCAACCAACTCTTAGAGAATGGATTAGAAAAGCCCAAAAGAATGACCCATTTTTGTGTAAAATCATGACTGGAGTTAGGACAGATAAGCAAAAGGGATTTGCAATTACTGATGATAAGGTACTTCTATATAAAGGCAGAATATGTGTTCCTAAAGATAAGGGATTAAGGAAAGAAATTCTTGAAGAAGCACACTCTACCGCTTAGACAGCCCATCCAGGCAATACAAAAATGTATCGAGACCTTTGAAATACATTTTATTGGAGAAATATGAAAAGAGAAATAGGACTTTTTGTAAGTAAATGTATGATCTGTCAGCAAGTAAAAGCTGAACATCAGAGACCTTTAGGGTTGCTTAGACCACTAGATATACCGGAGTGGAAATGGAAACACATTACCATAGATTTCGTGGTAGGACTTCCGAGATCGGCTAAAGAGAACAATGTTATCTGGGTAATAGTGGATCGTCTTACAAAGTCAGTCCATTTTCTTCCAGTTAAGATGACATTTACCATGGAGCAATATGCACAGATTTATGTCAAGGAAATAGTGAGGTTACACAGGGTTCCTGTTTCTATTATTTCAGATAGAGACTTGAGATTCACGTCAAAATTTTGGAAAAGCCTACAAAATGCTATGGGAACAAAACTGAAATTTAGTATTGCATATCACCCACAGACTGATGGACAATCTGAAAGGACGATTCAGATACTTGAAGATATGTTAAGAGCTTGTGTACTAGATCTTGGTGGTAGCTGGGAATCACACTTGCCTTTAGTAGAATTTGCCTATAACAATAGTTTTCAAGCAACTATAGGCATGGCACCTTACGAGGCACTATATGGTAGGAAGTGCAGATCACCTATCTACTATGATAAGGTTCGAGAAAGAAGGATTCTTGGACCTGAGATCATAGATCGAACAATACAGGATGTGAAAAAGATTTGAGACAGAATTAAGGTTGCTCAAGACACGCAGAAAAGCTATGCCGATAGAAGAAGAAAAGATCTCGAGTTTCAAGTTGGTGACAAGGTATTTTTGAAAGTTGCTCCAATAAAGGGAGTACTTATATTTGGAAAGAAAGGAAAATTGAGATCAAGATTCATTTGACCATTCGATGTATTAGAAAGAATCGGAGATGTGGCATATAGATTGGCATTGCCACCAGAACTTTCAGCAGTACATAATGTTTTTCACTTATCAATATTACGAAAATACTTACAGGATCCTATTCATGTGATCAACCATCAAAATTTAGATGTACAACATGATTGGACCTATGAAGAAATGCCATTGAGGATACTACAAAAAAGGTTCATATATTGAGAAATAGGGATATTCCCTTAATCAAGGTCCTATGGCGTAACCATGGAGTGGAAGAAGCAACTTGGGAAAAGGAAGATGAGATAAAAATCAAGTATCCCGAACTTTTCAACTAATCTAAGATAAATTTCGAGGACGAAATTATTTTAAGGAGGGTAGGTTGTAGAATCCCAAATTTTTTAAATTAATTCGTATATATTTTATTTACCATTTAATAGGAATGCAATGTTTGGTTAAGTCCTTATGCAAATTAATTGATTATCTCTATAGTTGTTTTAGATCTATATGGATATCTTATTAGTTGAGGGACCGAAGTGAAAATAAATATCGAATTCTTTTATACTTTATTAAATGGGCCAAATAGTTAAGTATTGAAGGAGTTAGAATTATCCTACCAACATTCGGTTCATTTTGAAGCTCATAATAAATGGTGAATTATGGACTCGGGAAGAATTTAATTTGGATAAGTTAGACTCGAGTTATAGCCAATTAAGAAAAACTACTTAGTTAATAACATTAGTTGCCAATTCGGACTAAATTACTATATCAATATTAGGCTCACTGGATAGCTCGTAATTAATCATATATATTAGACTCGAGAAAAAATCGTTTTGGATAAGTCAGTGCCAATAAATTATCGTTTAAAGAAGTTGATGGAAGAAAAAGAAAATTAGTTTTCAATTTAATTAAAGTCTTGGAATGAAATCGTGCTATTGCCAGTTTTTTTAATCTTGTAATTGTGTATCTTTGTAGGCATGGTAGGTAAGGTAGGCTTTATTTTAATATTTGTTTGCATTGATTTTGGAGAAATAAAATGGTAGGTTTTACGTCTTTGCCTTGATTTCGGGGAGTTGTCAATTAGTTGTAATTTAATATCAATTAAATACTTAGATTTTTGGGAATTCATAAGAGGAGCATATCACGTGGAATTTGGATTTTTTAAATTGATTTTAATATTGGAATAGAATAGGAATTATGCATGCAATTCATACACTTTTTTTCACATGTCCACAGAATTATGCAATCATTGTGTCTCTTGCCAAAAATCTAATAGAGAATCTCCAAATTAGTTTATATCAATTAGGGAATTGGATCAAATTCTAGAAAACTTTGGACGGAATTTTTGGGGTAATTAACCCGAATATTTGTGATTTGTTCTAAAGTTTACACACCACACTACTTTTGTTCTACTATATAAATGACATAAGACCTTAAGAATTTTACAATTAAATACTCATTCTGTAGTATGCTTCAGTACGTCCATTATCTCTCCCTCTTTAAAATATTCCTCCATATTATTAAGACTTTTTTAAGGGTTTGGAATTTCAATCACGTTTTCTGCAATTTTGTCCTCCACTTTCATCTTCAAAAGGTGAGATACTCAATGCTATTGGTGGTTTTTCCACATCTTTTCAAATGCGTTATTATGTATGAATTTAATTACTTCAATTCAGGCTCCTTTGGGGAAGATCATGATATATTTTAAGGCACAATTTAGCCTTTACGTTATTTTGCAGCGCTTGCTAGAATTATCATTTGTCATGATGTGATAGTTGTCATTGTATATTGGTAAAAGAATTTATTTGTAATTCCATATTTGACTTGAATGTGGAGTAGCAAGTATCTCATTGAGTATAATTCGTTATACTCATCCCCTTTATTTACAATTTTCAGGTAAGAATTAGTATGTTGGATGGCGGTGGATGGATTTGCTATTGGACCAACGGATCCTCATCATGAAGTACTTTAACTTTCAAAAACACTAGAATTTTAATAATAATGGGGGTTTTTTTTTTTTTACTCAATTGTGAGTATATTAAAAATTTCAATTAGTTCTAATTGTTCTAATAATGTTTTGATGAATGATATGTTTTCAAACGTTCCGCATATTTTAAATTTATCTTTTGATTAAATGTTATTCAATTTTTTTACAGAATTTCTCATTATATTAAAGCTATTTATTTCAAGCCCTTTGATATATTCATGTTTCGGGTTATTAGATTTCAGGGCGTTACACCGCCCTATGTATGAAGAAACAAACTAGATTTCAGTAAAAAATTCTAAATATGTATATCTGT